GTCTGATATTGGGTTTGGCTACTTTTCAGTTCCTATTCAAACATTTGTGGCCAGATGAACTACAGAGCCCCTTGTCTCTGTCTTCATCATGGCTCCTGGGTCTGTATCAACCCTGCCTTGGCTGATTGCTCACATTTTCCCATTGAATGTCAAGCTAGCCTTTTCTGCCCTCCCATTCCCCACTATATTTCAAACTTCAAACCTACCAGACTAAACCTAACCTTAAATAAAGATGATGAGATAGAAGTGCCTACAACCTTTTCCCACTCTTGCAGAAATGGAGAGGACAGGGGAGATGTTTATTACAATTATCATAACAAATTATTAGGAGTTGAAGACCAATGATACTTGCAGGAGGGTGGTATTGGTGATGGCAGTATGGGGGCTGTGCTTGCAGGTGCTTGGACCTCCAGCTTCATGGCAGGAGGGAGGAATGACATTCTTATGGTGATTTCTAGCCAGGGTAGGTGATTCTCAGATGAACAGAAAATGTTCTCCAGAGTGTTTAAATCAAGAACTGTTGCACTGTGTGAGGTCAGTGTCAGGAGAGGGCTAAACAGAAAGGAAGAAAGAATTTTAACAAAGTTTTGCTTTAGTCTACACCTACCCTTAACAGTGTTCAAGAAATTTATGTAAAGAACTTGAGTTAATTTTAAAATGATATTTCACTGTTGCTCTGTATTTTCTTATTATACTGCAGAGACTGAACCTTGTGGTTCTTGGCTTAGTAAAAGCCAGTATCTTCTTTAAGCATGAGACAATCATTCATTACCAAACTATACTCCTCTGTCTAAAATTGTAGCTCAAGATCTTCTCTCTGCTTTGCAATTTGTCAACAATCCTCCCACCCCTGACTCACTCCGGCCTTTAAGCAATTATTGAAGACACTTCATCTACTCTAGGTTCATATTGTGGTTTGCTTCTCATAGAGTAATTCATTCATTAATACAACAATCTTAGCTATTGCTGTATACAATACTCAGAAATTCTAAACTTCTAATGAATAAAAACATTTGGTAGATTTTTTGCCTCTCTGCACACTTAATGTTGTTCATTTTTTGAGGCTTCTTTCAAAAATATTGTCTACATCAAAATACCTCTTTGTGTAATAAAGAAGGAAGGCATTCACTTGACTTTACAGGTGAGAAACTGAGTCTCAATGATGTGACATTAGTTACCCAAGTTCTTGTGGTTGATAAGTGGTGACAGTATTCTGTTTTTGAGTCTAGTGAGCAGCTTTCCTCAGCTGTATTATGAGAGGTTAGATCAGGCTTTGTGGGACTGTATCTCCCCTCATTTGATACTGAGAGGACATAAAAGAAACAAAAGAAAAGAAAAAACTGAGCACATTACATTTCTGTGAGTAAATTGTGTTTGGATATTATTTTAGAATTTCTGGAAACAGAACCAGATTGCTGCCTTTTCATTACTTTCATATGAGATTATACTGAAAACAAATCATAGGGAACTACTTAGTATTTCACAAAGTATTTCAGTGTGCATGTGTAGAGGGCAGAATTATTGTATAGGATAGAGGGGGTATAAATATATAAAAACTGTGGATTTTAATATTTCAGATTTCTAAAGAGATAGATATCAAGTTATTGGATTTGGGGAAATGTTGATGCTAAGAAATTGATGATAACACTTCAATTATGAAAATTGGGATTATAATGGGAATTTGGAAAGGAAATTTACAGTTTTATCAAAATCCATAGACCATCAGTACAGTACTACAGAAAGCTGGCTCTCCAGAATGGCTGTTGCAGTTTTGATGTTACGTTGATGATCAATTGGACTTAATTGAACATCTCTGTGCTTAGCCTCAGAATCACAGTGCAGTGATGAACTGGGCTAGTTAATGGTATACATACTGGTTAGGTCAGTAATAAATATCTGTTTCACATGACACAATGTGGACCTAACTTCACTTGTTACTGAATGAGTTAGTTGTTATGCCTCCATTGATGATTTAATTTCAGCAAACAAAGCTTGTTTTTTTAGATAATGTGAGGGCTTCTAAGGGTAAGTGGCACAAAATTGCTGTCCTCTTGCACTTCACTATTTAGTGAAGGAAGAGGACTCATATAAAATTCATTAAAACAAAAGGCCCTGGCTGTTGTGTGGAAATAGCTGTATAGGCAGAAAGAATTAGCATCCTGTTTATACAGTCTAATCCTTTGTCTGCATATTCAACTATGCGGACAACAATTTCTGTGATGTTCAATTGAAACATAACAGGATGATAATGGAAGTCCATACAGCTCTCGAGAGTGCACAGTGGGAAGGATGATGAATTATTTTTGGGTATAAGTGGGAAAGTAATGAGGAAAATAATAGTCTTTGGAGAGAAGTGAGTTATCATGGTGTAAGAGGAGGTTACCAGTAGGAGGAAATTTTGTGTACAGGGAATAGCAAGTGCCTTCTAGTTTATACTCATCTTAATAGGTGCTTAAAGATCAATCAACATCATTCTACAGTTAGAGGTTCCTCAGGGAACATAGTCTTGGTTCAATTTCTCAGCTTTCTACAATGGAAAAGCAAAATCATTTCACTCTCATTCCTTTGTGGAAACAGAGTCACAGAGGTAAGAAGAGTTGAAATAATATTCAAGGTAACACCTAGATAAGACACAACTTTGTGACAACTGTTGCCTTTTTTCATTTTTGTTGCTTTATCAGTTCTGAAGGTTTTGGTAAATATGAGGTATGAGGTGTGACATTAAGTCAGAGAACTGACTTTTACGAACGTTCAGTATTCTCATTTCAGAGTCAAACCTTTATTTGAAACTGCACTCTTTCTTCTTATTGCAATTGTTTACATGCTGTAATCTTTTATTGAAATAATCATTAAGTGGCATAGAAAACCACTATCACTTGTTCTTATTTTTTTCTGAAAAGATATACTCCTTTTATAAAATAAAAGCTAAGAGCTGCTAAAATATTTATAATCTAAGAATGTGGTTCAGTTAGATTTTTAAAAGTACTAATAATTTTTTTAAAATTTTGTGGATACAGAGTAAGTGTATATATTTATATGATGCATGAGATATTTTGATACAGGCATGCAATGTGAAATAAGCACATTATGGAGAATGGGGTATCCAGCACCTCAAGTGTTAGGCATAGAGTTACAACAATCCAATTACACTCTAAATTCCAAATTGTATATTTAAGTTATTGACTACAGTCATGTTAGATTTTCTGAAGCAGAGGGTTGGTTCTGAGTTTGGAAATGTAAGCCATAACAAAGAAAAAGATGGATAAAGTATAAATTATATAACTATCAGTTATTTAAAAAGTCTTCAGCCTTACCTCCATTTTTTAAGAGAGAGAGATGGCAAAGGACTACATTTATTATTCAGTCTTTCTTATTATCTCTACGATTATTAGTTATAGACAGCATTTATTGAGTGCTTAATCTGTGCCCCCCTAAACAAATCTCTGAGGTAGAGTAGATGCTATTCTTATACTCATTTTAAAGTTGAGGAAACTGAGACCCACAGATGTTAAGCAACATGCCAAGGTCATTTAGCTCGTATGTGAAAGAATTGACATTTGAACCCATATTGTTCAGCATGTGTTTTCTGAACTGCTGTTCTACGGCTGTCTTCTCTTTAAACCTGCAACTTTTCATTAAGGGGTTCTCCCTGGTGAAATTTCCAGTCAAAGTCAACTTTTTTTCTGTGAGATATACGTGTGTATATTGTGTGTATCTGTGGGTTTATTTGTACATACTTTGTATGTGTAGACCATCTATGCCAGCTTCTCCAAGTAACAGCTGTATCAGTCAAGATTAGATAGGCCATGGCAGTAGTAACAAACAACCCCCAAATCGCAATGGCTTAACACAACACAAGTTTATACAAAACCCCTTTGTCCATTCTGCATATCAGTGTGGGTAGTCAGAGGGATGTGGGGATGGGAGACTGGGTGAAGGGGCTCTTCTCCACACAGTCTTACAGGGGCTCAGGGTAATGGAGGCTTGGCCATGCTGTAGCTGGCCATCAGAATGTGTAGATTCCTCAGTCTATGTGTTAGGAGAGGAGAACCAAGAATCCCATGCTGGTTTTTAAGTGCTTCCTCCTGTAGTGAAAAAGCACTTCTGCTTGAAGCATCTCATCCTGAGCTAGTCTTATGGCTCCACCTAACTGCAATGGGGTGGGAAATGTAGAGAGGCAAAAAGGACCTGACAAGTAGCAAGTATCTCTGCTATAGCCACTCCCACTATGAACCTCCTTAAAAGTTTTAAATAACAGGAAACTATTGGATCATACGAATTTCAAACATTAAGCCAGGAGAAAATGTGTATTAGATATTCAGAATTTCTGGGTGATTTCAGCTTGTCCAACCTCTTTACTTCATCTGCCCCTGTGTTGTGGTGTTTTCTTGAGTGTGGAGGGGGTGGTATGCAAGTCTGTTGGTTATACTTGCTTCTAGATTTCCTCTCCTACCACTTTTGGGAAGCCACTGGATATGTAAAATCTTAGAATGACTGAAATTCCCTCCCAGCTTTGCCTCCATCCAGCAGTCGTCTTCCACAGTCCAAGCAGCACATTTGGTGCTGCCTTACAGAAGCCTGACTATTAGAGCAAAGTGCTTGCCTTTGTGTCCAATTCCCTGAACATTTACAAAAAAGCTCTCTTCAAAACTGGCAGATGAAAGAAGGAATATGAAATTTTTTCATTGCATTTCCTTCTTCATTATGTGTGATGACATCATGATGGGGTTCAAGAGATGCTACCCCAAAATGTAACTGAGCCGTTTAGCAGTTTAACCTCAAGTCATGTTTAATTTTTTTCCCCCTTTTCCTCCTTTCTCCTCAGCCTCAAGATGTAGCTCTGAGATAAACTACAAATGTGTTTTACAGTGTTGGAATGTTTTCTTTTTCCACTCCCTTCCCTTTCCCACTTTATGCTCCCATGTCTTATGTACATTTGTTTATGTAGATGTTTATTATGCACATACCATACTCACTTCTCTGATCATATTTTTCCTTAGAAGCATCACAGATTGGATCTTGATACAGACCAGATACTTCTGGAATTCTCTTTCCAATGAAAGATCACTTTAAGGTCAGAATCCACTCCTAGCTAGATATCGAACATAAGATTAACTGAGATAAATTTGTAACCTGGTTGGGCCCAAGGTGGTGGCAGCCCCTTCACCAGATGGGGGACAATAATTCAAGATGAACCAATCATGCCACCTGGCACCTCCTTGCCTACCCCCCACCCCTGCCTCTTCTGCATTCCAAACTCTCTCTTTAAAATCTCTGGCATTACTTCCACAAGTTAAAGAGTGAAAATTTTTTCTGCCCACTCTTCCTCTTGCTAGCAAAATAAAGTTTTGCTTTCTTTTGATCACGTCTTGTTATTATTTTGGCTTCTTTCTACAAGCGGTTAGCAGCCAGACTATTTTTGCCAGTTACAAAAATATAGCACCTTGGCATATGAAATATTTTAAGCTGAAAGAATTTACTGAAGAAGGAAGAGCCTCCTGACCCTCCCCTTCCATTTTCCTCTAAAGCGGGTCATAAGACCTTCATGCGAAAGATGTCCACCCTATACCTGCAGGAAAAGAGCATCTTTATCTTAGAAAATGAAGGGACACGGTGTGGAATCTGAACAAACAGACCTTGGTAAGTTTCCTCCTGTTTACTACACTTACCTCATGCTCTTTGCCCTATCATATTTCTCCATGACTGTACACACTTCATCAAACCTACTATAAAAAACATGTGGCTGGGCGCAGTGGCTTATGCCTGTAATCCCAACACGTTGGGAGGCTGGGGCAGAGGATCACTTGGTCAGGAGTTCAAGACATGCCTGGCCAAGATGGTGAAATCCCATCTCTACTAAAAATACAAAAATTAGCTGGGTGTGGTAGCAGGTGCTTGTAATTCTAGCTTCTTGGGAGGCTGAGGCAGAGAATTGCTTGAACCCGTGAGGTGGAGTTTGCAGAGAGCCGAGATTGTGCCATTGCACTCTAGCCTGGGTGACAGAGCAAGACTCTGTCTCAAAAAAATAAAAAAACCCAAAAAAACATGTGGGTATAACTGTTTCTTTGGGTCTTCATTTCCTTATGAAGACTCCTGTGTCACAAGCGGTGACCTTTGGTTCTTACCCTGGTTCTTGGTGATCTCTGCAGCATCAGAATGATAGAACAGGCTTTTACATAGGCCTAAGAGTAGGACTTATTGGGACTTTGAACCAAACTTGTATGGGAAGAAGGATGAATTTCAGAGACTGAGGGAAACCTTGTGCATGAGGCAGCCTTTAAACTTTAGGGAGTAAGAAGAAAATCCTCTTTCCCAAGATGCTTTCCTGCCTCTCCTCACACTGTCAGTAGTAGACATAATAGCTTAGTCATAGCAACAGAAATTCCACTAATTAGGGAGTCACTTATGTTAACAAGCACCCTTTTAAAGATGCAATTAGGATTTAGGAAGGCAATTACTAATTCACAATTCCTGCAAATTTTCTTAATCAAATTGCTTTTCTTCTTAACACCTTGCTGAGATTTGTCTCTGTGAAGGAAATGGAAGGAGAATTTGGAATTTGGTAGTGTTGGAGTTAGGAGTGGGTGGAGGGCAGAGAAATGAGGAGAAAAGGTAATTGAAAATAGTTCTTTTTTCCCCCAATTATTAAAGTCCTTGTTGCAGTTCAGTGGAGTGCTTAAGAGCACAGGTCTGGACCCAGACTATTCTTGCCAGCAGCATGGCTCTGGGCATGTTGCTTCACCCCCATATGCCTCAGTAATAGGAGGATAACACAAACACAGCAGTGGGTTTGATTTTTCAGATTAAATGAGTAAATACATGTAAAGATTTTAGTATACAGCATTCAGTAAATACTAGCTCTTTTGAATAATTTAGAAAATACAAAACAAAATAAGAATTTCTCAGATTCATAGCATGTCTTCAGATCATTGTACCTTTAAAGGACCACTAGTTCACATTTTGCCCTATTTCTATTCAGTATGTTTACATATCATATACAAGTACACATATAAATTGAGATCATATTGTCATTACATTTTAGGGTTTTGATTTATTTTTCAGGTAATATTAGCTATGAGTGTTATATAACTGAACCAGGGTCTGCTTGCCTGGCACAGTAAGACCAGATGTCTCTACTGAGGATTGCAATGGTAGAAAAAAAAGTGTTTATTTGCAGGGCTCCAAGCAAAAAGGTTCAGGCAGCTGGTGCTTAAATCCTGACCCCACTCCTCTCCATGGCTAGCAGGTAAGGGTTTTTAGAAGTAGGGGTAAATTTCAGGAAAGCGGAAATTGTAGGCTAAATCATAAATCAATACAATTACACATTAGTTTTAGCCTAAAAGTGTGGGATATCTTGAAGTGAGGGCGTACAGGTCATAGGTGTATTCAGAGATTTTCTGATTTGCGATTGGGTAAGGAAGAGAAGCTTCACTTGAAAATTTCAGGTCAGCAGGAAGGAATGTTAGCTCTGGTTCATGAATGTGACTTTCTTCATGCTCCACAGGAAGAAATTGAGAACAGAATTCAATCCCCAATTCCCCTTTATGAGGTCTACTGTGGGGGATGAGTTGTTTGATGAGGGTTTGGGTTCCTGAAAAGCAACTCAGAGACATATGTTAAAATGTCATCAATTTCTGTAGGGGAACCAAGCATCTTGTGATTCTAGCTTCCTTGGCTATTGTTTTAGGCTACTATTACCTTCATGCTTATCAAGTTGCTTAACTTCTCAAGGCTATCGAGGTACCCAGAATTTCTCTTGAAAAAGTTCAATATTTTTCTGTATTTCCATGCTTGGGGGGCCTGCAGGCCACTAAGCCGGGGGGCGGGGGTCCCTGCTCTGTCTCACAAGCACTTCGGAGAAAGCTTTGTGAAGGAGGCAGGCTAGTAAAGGTAAGTACATTTCCATGGTCAGATCTGAAAGGAGTTTGTGGTTTAGGGCTATGGTATAAACAAAGACATGAGGAAGGAAGCTCAGGAAGGAACAGAGACACTCAGGCGGAGACAGGAGGGCACGGGAGGTGGGGAGGCTAAAGGAGAACTTAGCTACTCTTTAGATACTAATAGTGGGTTGGGTTGGAAGTGGGTTTACGATGGCCAGTTAGGAGTCAATTTTAAAAATCCAAGGCAGCAGGGGTGAAGGACTGAAACAGGGACTGCATGATTTTTGTAGGAATAAATAGGAAGCTGTGAATATGAGAGGCTGTGTAGAGAAATAATTAAATTCCCACCCTTTTCTGAGAAAGAGAGATGGGGAGAAGATGGGTAGGGGAGAGGAAATACTACCGTAGAAGGAACAGAAGGAGGTGAGGTCGTTGATAAGGGCAGTGAAGGCAAGCATGAAACAGATGTTAATAGAATGGAAAATATTCTGAATAATCATTTAGAGAAAATGGGCTCAAGTTAGGAATTCAAAAATATGCAGGAGCTTTACGGCTTACCTTATTCAATGAGAGAGGCACATATGCCACCTTCAAACCAGATTTAAAATTGGATCGATGTGCTATACAAATTCTTTAGTTATATAAACCTAATAGTTGTTGAAGACATCTTTTATTGCAGCAGAAATAAAAAATGTAAATCTTTATATAACTTATGTGTTAAGTTCTCCTTTAAATTCTTGCTCAGATGAAGGGTACAGAAAGAACTATGGCTTCTAGTTCTAACTCAGGAAGCGATCATAAAGACTTTTCCATTTGTATACGAGGGCTTTATTGTTTAGAAAATATGTTAACTCATGTTACCTTACATCCCAAAAGGACTGGAAGGAAGGAAAATCTTGTGTAAATCACACTGGAAAAATATTTTTTGAAGGGGAAGAGTTTTTCATGCTAATAACTGCCATTTCCAGGAAGCATAGAAAAGAAATTAATCCTCAAGGGCAGCTCAGAGTTCTTCTAAGTCCTTGTTAAAGAAGCCTGTTCCAGGTTAGTCACATGTTCTTGGGATTTGATATTTTGCCAGTGGAAATAATATTTTTTTCTTTTTGGTTTTATGTTGACTGCCTAGAATGCTTGGAGCTTTTTGAAATCTCCATTAGGGCTTTTACATAATATACCAATAATCATTTCTTACACAGTTTTGAGATCTTTTCCAGGAATGGTGATACATTTTTGCATAGAAAGCCAAATTTTTGTGTAAGCATTTTGAATTATCTGGTTGACATTTAGGCCATTAGTCCTTACTATCAAAATCACTAGCCATAGACTTATGAAGGATTGGTTTTAGCCTTGACATGCTTATCAAAAACTGAGCAAACGGCATTGTTGAGGGCTTTGTAGGGCCTTATATACTAGTTTGCAATTTTTCTCTTTCACATTTATAACTTAGGAATGTGGCTTGTTGGATTTTCCATATTTAGAAGGTTTGTTTATAATAATAATTTTGTGTTTTATATCCTTTATAGTTTCATATATTCTATTTTTCTCTTAGTGAATCCCTATGAAGTATGCAGGGATGGGCAACACTACTTTTTTCAACAGAAAAATAGCCCTGTAGTGAAGTCGATTTGCTCAGGGTGTCACAGCTAGTACCGGGGAAGCTAGCATTTGAACCCGCATCCTCTCATACCCACTTTTAAACTGACATTTTGATGCCTGTGTGTCATGGGACTTGATTCTAGAATAAAAATGGAAATGAATTATATTTACATTAAATAGAGTAGAATACAATTTCCATGTTTAATGTTTAAAATGGTTGAATATTGGCAGCACCATGTAGTTTTACCTAATATAGATAGCCAAATATGGTGGGGAAATAGTGTAGATTTTAGAGTCTGACTAGTGTAAAGCTAGAATCCCAGCTGTACCTCATGTCAGAATTCAATTACTTCTATATTGTTTAACTTTTCTAGGCCTTTGTTTAACCTTCCTAAGCCTTTGTTTCCTCAAGAATGGTACCTCCTATAAAGGTCCTTATGAAGAGCACACAGTGCCATGTCTGCAAAAGACCTATCTCAGCATATGATGTATAGTAAGTTATAAATAGAACACAGCAAATATTATTGCCAATAAAGGATTGACAAATACCAAACTAGAAAAAAGGAGCATTTTAATTGTTTATTGCATGTTTAATATTGAATTTTTAGATAAGAAACAATTTGTCATTCTTTTTAAGTACTGAATACTACCTTTTTAGTATTGAGTGCTATTTTTTAATTTGTACCTCATGTCAGAATTCAATTACTTCTATATTGTTTAACTTTTCTAGGCCTTTGTTTAACCTTCCTAAGCCTTTGTTTCCTCAAGAATGGTATGTCCTATAAAGATCCATTTGGTTATTTGGATATGTGTGGGAGAAGAAGGGCATTATTGATTATTTCTATTTTCTGTCTCATACATATTTTCTTTTTCTCTATAATAAATAAGTGTTTTTATAGTGGATGTGAATCTATAAGATAAAAATTGGTTTAAACATTAAATGATAAAATATTAAGAATGTGAAAAAGGAACAACTTCCTCAAAAATTGATAGCCTCTGGGTGAACAGAAGAATTTGATATTTAAAGTAAAAATCCATGTAACTCTTCCATTTGCTCATGTGCATTCATTCAGTAGTTTATACATTTATTCATTCATCCAACATATAATATTTAAGTAACACTATGTTTCAGGAACTGTGAGGAGATTAAAAAATATGGAATTC